TGTCAAAATACAATCTTCAATAACAAGATATTTCTAATAGAAAAACTGTCTGTTTCAATGGCTAGAATTGGATTAAGAGTGATGCCCGGGGCTTCATTTCATATCTAATAATACCTTACTAGTATCGTCTGTTAGCGAACTACATGTACTGTGCTCGCAGACTTCTTTGCAATTTTCAAGTGAATGTCTTCGGAATTTCTTCCTTACTATGTATATCGGGAATTTCAGACCTACACGATTTGTTCTCTTGAGGCATAATTTCACAATAGTAACTACTGGTGCACCAATACACCTACACGATCGTGTGGGCCAATTTCCTCAGGTAAAGGGTATCATAGAGAACAATGTATACCGACAAGTTCTTCAAATGTCACTAAACCTTTTCCCCCTACAAGCAATAACCCCCAACCAAATCCCCTCTAATAACCCCAATCAAGGACCAGTTTCAAACTCGTCCCTAACAACTGATCAATCGTCCACATACCCTTTCACTACTTACCCCTCCAACCAATCAGTCTAACCGCCTTACTAACAAATACCCCCCTGTCTCAAATCACCCCACCTTTCCCAAACAAGGAACAGTCCCATATAACTACCCCTAACCCTTAATCAACCACCCCCTACCAAACACCCCAATTATCCTCTCCCCGACCCTACATCCCCACTCCCACCCCTCTTACTATGCTCAACCTAGGAATATTCAGTCCTAATTGTGATTGAGTAGTACTTATATTAACGTCTCAATACTACATCTTCATCAACCCTTCGAACTTACTCTTCACTCTCTGCTTCACTAAACACCCCTTACCTCTACCCCATTCCCACTACATAACCCCCCCCCCCCCCCCTCCCAACCAAACTATACTCAGACTTTATTATGATTGAGTGATACTAATACTAATAACGTCTCAATACTAAAACTCTACTATCTAATTCTATAGTTTCTGCTCCAATTACTTTTATTAGTCAATTTACAGTGAAAGCAATACCAATAAATCGACTAACAATATCAGGACCGTCATACAAATACTTCATGTTATTGGACCCAAATTACATCAAAATTCTTAGATAACTAAACAACAGAACTACGTACGGTACCATTCTTATATGAATTAAGGAATAAATCAATGAATGAATGAATGAACGGGAATGAATGGATAGTGAAGGAACGTGAACGAAGGAACGAAGGAACGAACGAACGAACGAACGAACGAACGAACAAACAAACGAACGAACGAATAAACGTGAATGAATGAATGAAACAGTGAATGAGCGAAATAAACGAACGAATGAACGAACAAACAAACGAACAAACAAACGAAAACGTTCGAACGAACGAATGAATGAACAAATGAATGAACAAATGAATGGATGAATGATCTACATAATATAACCTTAATACCTTTTTACGGTGTGAAAACCAAAGAAAATTGAAAGTAATGAACACGCTAAGGCAGACATTAACAGAAAGACAATTTTAAAAGTTTATCGCCACCCAAGTAAAACAACAATACATCGAAATTACACGTACAAAGTAAACGGTAATTGTTTTTTAATTGGCTTCATCACAAACTATACGTTGGTTTTATAGCACCTGTGTGGAAATCAAATTAATTCAACTAAAACGAATTCTCGTTGACACAAAAATGTAGTTAATCTTCACATGTCAAGTTATTGACCTTGACCTTGACTGCTATAGCCATCTTCTTGTATCACGGTAATTTGAAAATGCAGGATTTTGATTGGATTGTACTCTTGCGAAAACAACCAATCAGAGCACTTGATAGAAAGACTGTAAACAGTTTGGCCGCGCATGTAATCTGGCTATGATTGGCTGTATTCGCCAGCGTACAATTGAATCAAATCGCTGCATTTTCAAACTTCCGTGATACAATAAAGGTGGCAATTAAAGTCAAGGTATTCGACGCAGTGCGCAATAGCCTGACATTGTGAAGATGATTGATGATTTGTCAGTTAAGTCTGGCTTCTCATTATACAATATGTACATGTATTACAAGGCCGAATTCTGTATCAAGGTGCCCTGACATCATAGCGACTGAGTTGTGTTGAGAATGATGAATAGAAGTGGTCAGTTGTGACGGATGTGGCGCCAGTAAGGGGGTGCTTCAAGATACCACTTTTTATTATGAAATACTTTCTCACTTATGATTGATATACTTCCTCATTTGAAAAGTTCATTAGCTGCTACCAATGTTTTGCCAATATCGTAGTAAGTGGCGTTTCTAGGAGGGGTGAGGGGCCGAGCAGTCATTTTTGCACTACGTAAAATGATTGGAGAGGGTGGGAGGTGGCAAACTTGTCCAGCCTCTTTTCAATGGAAGCTCATGCCCCTTCCCTCGTAGAAACGACACTGAAAATGTTGTTTTGGATTTCGGGTTTCGTTTTTCGGTTCGAATTCTTAGTACTTGGTTTATTTATTGCATGAGAATGGCGTTCGAAACATATGACCGTTATTCTTTTTCGCAACCATATGCAACGTTTGATCGTTATGGTGTAAAGGCATCTTAACATTATTTCACAAATCTGTCTTTAGCCTAATGATGGAGAACCCATGATAGACAATTCCTTTTAACATGTTACAAACCCATGACGATAGCGAAACTTCGTAATGTAAACTTATGTAATATTATACGGAGTATTGGAATATAGACCATTCTTTTATCTTACAAGTTAAATAGTGTTGAACAACATGTTGTAATAAACATAAATTTGTAAGAACTATTAGAATCTACTTCCTAATGGTTTTTGTAGAAATTTCAAGGTTGAGTACGCGCCGTAATTCATCAACTATAGTCAAAAATACTCTAATAATAATAATGATAATAGTTATAACACCGGGCAATATCATATACTATATTCACGTGCAACGATAAACAATAGGATATGACGTCATTGATGACAAAAAATACCGTAAGATGTTATCAGAGCTAGACACAGTATTCGTTTGAAATTTGTAAATCTATTCGCCGTACACGTATCTTGTTTGTGTACATTGTTATATATTTTCGTATATTTTTCTTAAAACGGTGCCAACCCATATTATCTTTTGACAAATTACGTGATGAATTTCTTCAATCGTAAAATTGCTTTTTTTCTTATGTACATAAAGCTTATAACAATGTGTTAGTTAAAAATAAATGATCTATTTGAAACAATGTGTGATAGCGTACAGGTGGAAAAACCTCTCTTCTATTTCTTTCATGGTAATTGTGCTATGCTATTATAGTTATCGTGTCTTTAACACGTCTGCATTTTTACCTCCCTTGTTTCCCTTCAGTTGGTGGTGAAACCACTTATCTTAGTCCGAGGTAATGAGATACCACTTGTTTTTGCCAAACAACACACTTGCAGTTTACGTTTTGTTTTGTAAATAGGAGCACACGTACGAAACTCGTGAATAATATTTGATTACGGGCATCCTTTCTCGTGTGAAAAAGTTTGATTTCAATACTGCGCCGTTTGGGAGAGCAACACCCCCCTTCTCCCCCCCCCCCCCCAACACCCTGGATCAATTAACCCTTTGTCCACAAACATCCTTGCAGCATTTCTATAACAAGAGGGTTAATACAGAGTTTAAGTGCTAGTCTAATAATACGGTACGATAGCTATACATTGACTTAAATTATGACAACAATACATTAAACCATGTCATTAAGCACGTCTCAATAACCACCAACTTTTAGTCGAGTTGATAACTTTCTTTTATTAGACCATCTCCATATCGTAAATATCTCATTTACTTCTTGATAGACTCTTTTATTACTTCACTCAATATTCACTATAGTTACCTCCCTTGAGACTTCAACTTTATTCATTGATTATCTCCCTTTTGTTGGATTATACACTGATGTACAGAATTGTCGATGGGGCCCACAGCACTAAGAATTTAAAAACTCGGTAATAAGAAATTTGGTATTCATGGATGATTCATGGCAGAGCCACACCAGCCCCGTGTGGGGGTTAAGGCTTTACCTTCCCCCCTCCCCCTTTACTTCCCTGATAGGAACGCCACTGAGCCTAACATATATCAATGTATCAATGAGGAGCTGAATAATGCAGATTTGCTATATACCTGCCCCTGGCTCGGATATATGTTATTACGTTTTTAAAATCTGGATTTTTAAATTTAAATCTGTAAAGTACGAATAATAATTAATTACAAACGCATTTCACATCAAATCCTCTTTCATCATTGCCCAGTAGGTACATTCTCATGTATTTCATAATCGGCTTGAAGTTTTAATGAAATATTCGAAAAAGAATTCAAAGGAAAGCTACACAATATTTATAATCAAGTTGCCGACTAAACCCGATTATCTACCTTGCTGTGAGGTATCGTAAAGGGAAGCCACTCGTACTTTTATAAAATAGTTATCTCTCTTGAGTGTACAAATGTGTTTTATTTGTATTTAATTAATGCCTTTAATTCATTAAATGCAACCAGTCAAGGCATAACAATACATCATATTCCCTTTACATAAAACCTTTTGTACCTATTGAACTTCCTCTGAATTTAACATGCATGGATTGTTCCGTTGGGTATTAAAATATGAATTATAAATCAGTTAGTTTCTTAGGTCAATGAGGATTGCCTCCCTTTGGAGAATTCGAACAAATGAAACTATTAAGGAGGGCTTGACTAGTATTGGATTTTGAAGTGATGAAATGTACAGTAGTGGGTATTGTCAGCTTGGAATGGCATATACACTCAGTGGCAGCCTCAGTCTCTTGAGACTGGGGGTACAATGAGGGGACAGACTGACTGAATGGGGATCTATTCAGAGGCGTTTCCAAAAGGGGACGGGGCGAGATACTGGATCGGCTTTGCCCACATCATGCACCTTTTATAAAAATATCATTATCAGACACATATGATATATGGCAGCACTATAATTATATAGATGAGAAATTTTTGTATTTATCATTTATATGTCAATGTCACTCACATGGCGTCCAGTTGTCCCGTTAACCTTTGGTTCATGTTGACCCTTTATGACTTTTTATTTTCTATTTCAGGTGTTTCAGTAGCAGTTAGTTGTTTTACTCTGGTAGCCATTAGTTTAGAAAGATACTTCGCTATCTGTCGACCTCTAAAATCACGACGATGGCAGACCAGGACTCATGCTTACAAGGTCATAATATTGTGTTGGATTTTGGCATTCTTCGTGATGTCGCCCATAGCCGTTTACCATCGTCTAGGAACTGCTGGTCGTGGTGTGTATCGCTGCCGAGAAGACTGGGATAACAAAGTATGGGAGAAGGCGTATACGATGATTTTGAATATGGTTTTGTTGGTCATCCCGGTGATTATCATGTCGCTAGCTTATGGATGGATCTGCTACACCTTATGGATCGGGATGAGATTGGAGGATCAATCCATGAAAGGTTGGTACTCTAAGCAATCTGTTTTAAATGCAAATGTTTCGTTTCATGTTTTTCTGCAGGTGGTTCTACTTGGCATCCATGATCTGAAGAAATTGTAATGCATCTTATGTTCTTATGGTCATTTGATACCAATCAAAATACAAAGTGTTTTTGATTGGTTAGCTCAAATTATGACAACATTTAATGCTATTGGCTAAACGTCCACAGAACACGATTTAAAGAAACGTGTCGTTAGGTCATGGATGGCAGTTGTAGTAACATGCTATAAAACACGAAGTAACCAATGGAATTCTATTTACCGACGAAAGCACAAACACGAGTGATATCTATTCTATCACGTTCAAGAGTGCTAACTCTATTTCGACATCAGTTATTTTAAATAGTGACCTGTATGGCTTCTTAAAAAAATATATTACCGAAAAAAACAGAAGCCATCGTTTTAAACAAATCAATTTTTTAAGACTTCGCGATAAATTTTAGAACTCTTTCGATTCTAATAATTTGTTAAGAGGTTTTCTAAACTGTTTATTTGTATGGGACACTGATATCCTTGATTTGCACCATTCAAATTTTCTGTAAATTCTGTCTGTGGCTTGTAATCTAATTACAACCAAGAGTTTTAAGACTTTTAAAAACATATTAGCAGTTTGTGCGATAGTGACGTAAATACGATTAAAAATTTATAGGATTACAGTAACCATCTGACGGAAAATTTGAATTATGCAAAATGATGCCATTAATAACCCAATAAACGTAAAAAGTTTAGAAAAACAATAGAGCCGAAAAAATGCCGTATTGGGCCACAAGATTCGAACCTTTGGTACCTCTGGTACCGAATTCCGACAGTGAACATAATGATATGATTCTTCTCCTACAAATCATGTAAACTGTTTTGATGGCAGATACGAGACTGTTGATGATCAAATTGGAATAATAATGGTCTATTTTGACGTGGCCAGAACGAGTTTCAAGGTTGAACACAGATTCACAAAAGTTGTTTTACTCCCGATTGATTTTAAATTGCCTCTCAAACTGCCTTCCATGAATAATTAGTAGAGTCAAAGGTGAATGTTAGAGGTTCCATTCATAACCTGATGGTACAAGACTATTGACAATGGTCGAGTTGGGTTGATTGATTGGTCTAGAGCCGGTATGATTGACCTTCGCCATGTTTACTTACTGAAGTCTCATCGTTGGACCAGTTCCGTAGAACTCAATGGCTTCATTTCGTTTCATCATGCCCAATCGTATGCTCTGTCGGGATTTACATTTTGTGCTTAAGGTTGCTCTCACACCTTGCGAAGACATGTTGCGTATGACTGCGCATTAAGAAAGTGATCATGAGTACCGAACGCAGCTCACTCTGTTGTTTGAAAGTTGCGTTTGAAACTTATGACCGCTATTCTTATTCGCAACCAACCATACAATTGGTGATCGCCATTATGTGGGGGCACCTTTAAGTAGAAAGTGCTTCTATGAATTACAATTATTCCAAAGAGATGACGGTACGTTGCCTTCCAGCAGTTTGCAGAAAGTCTTTAAAGAGAATGATTAGTCAATCTGTAATAATTAATAGACTAGCATGGTATTTTTCCAGTTTTCCACCTTCAAAAAACACTCTTACCACCATAGCCCACATGAATTGTTTAAATTAATTTACGACATTCTTTTCAAAATATAGTACTACAAGTGGATATACTATATTTTCCTTGATTTTCTTTTCCAGAGAAATCCAACCAAGGCGACTACAGTAATTCCAGCAATGGAGTCGGCAACGGACAAGGAAACATCTCCGTCCTGAGTGACGCAGAATATCCAATGAATATTCAGTCATCTACTGGCGGACGACCATTCAGACGCATTGAATTACAAAGAGCCTTGCGACAGAGTAACAGTAACCGCAGTCGAGCCGCAAAGAAACGCGTCATCAAGATGCTATTCGCAGTGGTATTGGAATTTTTTATCTGCTGGGCTCCGGCATATATAGTGTACACGTGGATGATCTACGACATAGACAGCGCCAGACGCCACGTTTCAAACTTAACCAAATCGCTGATCCATCTCCTATCTTACGTTTCTTCGTGTTGTAATCCGATCACGTACTGCTTTCTGAACAAAAACTTCCGTCAAGCGTTTATTGCTGCGTTCCGATGTTGTCGGAAGAAGCATTACGTGTACGCTAGACGCAGTGAAATGTCTTTTTCCGGAAACACTAACTCTACACGCACAATGGGTAGTGCTTTAACAAGTTACGACAAAATCGCCGAGTCGGACGAATTGTCGGAGAAAAGTTTCTGAGGCCTCAATCATTGTTTGTGGTTTTGAGCACAGAGGGTGACAGTCCGTGACACTGTGACGATTTGATGTTTGGAAACATACTTTGCGATCCGTTATCTGCGTTAGTGGATAACAATAAGGGCAAGGATCTTATTGGTAACGAAAGAACGTTGCCGTTTAATGTTTACTTCCGGTCGTGTTATGGTATAAAGCTCAGACTATACTGAGTCTCCTCTTCTGGTTTTCTCACAGTCCGTGACGCTGTGTCACTGTGACGATGTGAAGATGTATTGTTTGAACGTTGTTTGTGATACGTTATCAACATTTGTAAAACACAATGAAGGTATACATCTAATTGGTGATCAAACAAGGCTATCTTTTATTTCGATTTGTGTATTGATAATGGAATTAATTTCAGATTGTATTGAATTTCATAGTTTCTGATTTGGACACAATTCGTGACACTGTGACGCTAGGACGATGTGACGCTGTGACAATGTGACGATGTGACGCTGTGATGCTAGGACGATGTGACGCTGTGATGCTAGGACGATGTGACGCTGTGACAATGTGACGATGTGACGCTGTGACAATGTGACGATGTGACGCTGTGACAATGTGACGATGTAATGCTTGAAAACAATTTGGATATACCTTGAGACCCCTTATCAATGTTATTGGTGATTGGTTATTGGTGACCAGGCAACTTTGCCTCTAAGATTTTAATCACCAGCTGTGTTATGATTAGTATTTGAACCTTGACCTGGACGCCATGTTGTTTGGATAGGATATACTTTGTGATCCATTTCCAGCGTTTGTAAAAAAAACAGTGAAGGCACACTTGGTGACCAAAGAACGTTTCCTTTTGATTTTGATTTCTGGTTGTGTTATGATAATGTTATAAACCTCACACTGTACTGTTTCCGGTTTGCGCACAGTCTGTGACGATGTGATGTTTGGAAAGACTTTCCCGCAGTAACTATGATTTCTGGTTGTGAAAAAATTGCTTTGTGGAGCTCTCCAGTGTTGAGTTTTGTAACTAAGCCCCGTGATTTAATAGACTTCATTTGAGTTGCCGACTTAGCAGTAGATAAAGGTGAAAATACCACAACATACAGATTGTCAAGGAATTGCTAGTAAGCTAAGGTGTTTGGATATCTTAGGAGGATGAAACTGAATTCATGAACGCTGAGGTTTTTGAAAACCGATTACGGAAGTTTTGCGTTGCTTCTTTTCTTTTTGTAGCACGTGTTACTATCAAATTCGAAGGGGGTCGACCCAAGTGGAAAGATTTTTTGTATCAAAGATTAAAGGTCACGTGATGTAGATATGTAAATATTATTTTGTTTATTATAATTCTATACTATATTTGTCATTTGTGACAGAGAGCTGTGTACATGAGCTCAAATGCCCAACCCGAAATATCCAGTTTTTGTTCTCATTTCTGCTTTGCAAAAATGCACTTTTTGCTAAAACTGTTGCATAGTTATTCCTAATTGATTCGACTTCCGGTTAAAGTTTCCAGTAACCATTTTCAGATGGTTTAAGCATTTGATTCAATTGTAAGCGAACTTAACGCTGGATTTTCATCCAAAAAAGTAACAGCGGTTTTAAAATTACCATTCATCGAATTTTTAAAAAAAACTGTTATAGCTCTTTTCATTGGATTATGTTGACTGCCATCCAATTCATCGCACTTGCGACGGACCCGATAAGATTTTTGGATCGCCGACCTGACTTCTCAGTCAGTTATTGAATACTTCAGAACGGAAGATATGTTATATATTATAGTGTGTATATAAACGTTGCTGTTACTATTTTAGCTGTTGTTTAGTTGCTTCTGTTACCATTGATGTTATTAAGAAAAAATATCTTATATTACTATCACTATGTTTTATATTAAGCAATGTGTTAACCAGATATACGGGGCCTCCTGTGGGTATATTTGGTGTTTCTGCGGGAAGGGGCCATAGCTTCTCCCCTCCACCCCCGCCACCCCAGAAATTAGGTATATAGGACTAACATGCTACAGGGCAACCCACGCCACATACGGAAGGATAGTTATTGCTCTAACTGTTCTCATACAAGGGTAGTCTAGGGTTGCAGAAACCAACACATTCTTAGCAGTCGTATGAAAAGCTGAAATGAAACTCAATCAAGTTGTAAATACGATATTTAGACGACTATTCCAACAGGGAAAAAAAGGCCTTTAAAAAATTGTTGTCAGAGGTTTGTACAACATTACATTAATCTGAATTTAATCAACTGGATTGAAATTTCAATTTATTGCACTTAAAATAAAACGATTTCTTCTCTGCCAGTTTCAAGCACACCATTTAATTGAGTGTCATTGAGTAATTATTTTATATCTATGAGATGGAAATCCTCCATTCACCATTTTGTCACGTTTCATGCCCGTTTAAATCACATAACATTCCGAATGCTATTAATTTAAACTATGACAAATGACACGTTACACGCCATCAGCATATTATTCTACAGTCTTAACCTTACTGTTGGTGGGTTCGGGGTTGGGAATGAGGATATACCCTGAAATATCTTTGTGTGGTCAAAACAGTCAGGGCATGGGGCAGAAAAGGGGCGACGGTACTTGTCCCTAAAATTCATACTCCTAGCTAAGCCCTACCTTTTACATCTAAATTATGGTGCTTATGGTGCTTCCAAAGTACTTTACAGTATAGATTCTCAACCTCGTCAGTTTCCCACCCCCCACACCCCCCGCCCCCCCCCCCCCCTCCCCCCACTAAGTCAGCTTGCTCCTTATTTGCACCTTTAGTGCCAAGAAGCTGCCATCGGTACTGCTTGTGTCTCGCTTCTTCTATTTTCTACTTTATCGATAATACTGCATCGTACACCTACATCATTCCTCTTTTATTGACACCTTTAACGTTACAGCTTTTCAGAGACAGTCGAAAGTTGAAGAATGCCCGATCTTCTATAGAAATCCATTCGATAATTATCGGCAGTTTCCGTACAGAACGGTAAGGGGTTGTTACTAGACATGTTGCAAGGAATCTAGAATTCGGTCAGAAGTTGAATGACTTCGTTTGATCTCTGATCATCTCTGATCATAGTTCGGTAGTTTTATCAATGAAGGAAATTGACATGGCAGCATTGATGATGTATAACATTTGACATGGTATTAAGTGAATGTCAAGGGCGATAAATCATACTGGACTATAATTAATTAGCGATAATGGAAGACGATAAGTGAAGATGGGGCTGGTATAAATGGTAATAATTAACTGATAACGACCATCATTATACGCACTTTATCCTCTGCAGATTTGTTTATTAACCTAATGTATCCTACCCAGAAAGTTACTGACGTAGACATATTTGCATATCATTGACGAAGGCATGTCAGCAAATCATTGGCGTTAGCTTGTTTATCAATCCTACTCCGGGAGTTGTTGACGAAGGAGTGCATGTATATCGTTGACGTCAGCCTCTCCGATTATCACAGACGTACTCTTCTTTACAAATCCTGACACGATACGAACACAATTTGCTTTTATTATCTGCTGTATCGATAACCCCACGCCGCTAACCGCTAACTCCTGATTTCAGTTACCCACTCATCTTCACAATATCAAGCTATCACGAACTTCATACATATACCTTGACTACATTAGTCACTTTTCTTGCATCATGGATTGTAAATTGAGAGATTTGATTGGATTGTACGCTTACGAATAGAGCCAATCAATGGCCTCGACAGAAAGTCTGTGAACACATAAAGCCATAATGATTACAGCCTTTCTGTATTCGCTTGCGAACAATCAAATCAAATCGCTGCATTCCGTGATACAAGAAAGGTGACTTTTCTAGACAAGTTATAAGTACGACGTTTGTAACAGCTTGACATTGTGAAGGTTTTATTTATCAGTACAAAAAGTCTAGATATCGCTACAAAAAAGAAATCACCACACAATCTTTGAACGCCAGTGTGTCTCTGAGGTCGTCGCGTTCTAATAAAAGATGATGAATGGGTTTGAACCATGTATTTTCTATCACAATATATCACATGTTTATTAATTTTTAAATTGCATGCGAGATCTGGATTCTGTTATAGAATCTTTATTAGATCTGTAATAGGATGGCGTTCCGCTTGAAAGAGGTCGCCTATATCACGGTTCTATCACGTGAAGGTCTGATATTTGCGCCCCACTTGTAAAAGGACAAATGAACGCAGGGTGAAGGGAAAAGAGCTTCAAAAAGCTGCTCAGCTGAACACGGGACTTCTCGAACGAATGGTCTACAGACAATTGAACGCAAGATAACAAAAGACAAGACGAATCTGTTTGTTTTAAAACTTAACTGTTTGACAAAAGAATAAAGGACACGCGAAGTAACTAATGGCACGAGTGAGTGTTTCCAGAGATCTGTCGGAGGAGTAAAGATAAACTGAGCCTGGCAAATCTTGCCCTATATACCCAGTTCCCTAGCTGTGATGTACGGGTGTGATATCGTCACGTGTAGAACCAGACATCGTCAAAGCATAGACAAAGAGGGACTGGCTGGTTACGACATCTAACGTCACGTCATGGTGGAAGTGCTCGAAAATATCAACCCAAACATTGAACGAATATTGACATTGACGAGTATCTTGCCCTACCCATGAAGCTATCACATCCGTCTATCACGACTGGGGAAGGGCTGGGTCGGGTCTGTGGAGCTAGCCATTTTACGAACAGGTTTTAAAATGTGAACAACTGAATACAAAACTTCTATGACAAGTTGTCTACTACTTTTTTAGTCGTCTGAAACACAATATATTTAATAAGCAGAAGAAGAGATTAATTAAGAAAGTGACTAAAAGGTCGAGAATTGTCAGGCGAGGTTATCACAGATCAACTCAAAATGTTGACTACTTAACTCCAGTTGTCTGGGTCTATTAGGCTGTCGTGAAAACCGCGGCTTAACTCATCTCCCTTGAGTGGATTAACTTAATCCCATTAAGCAAATATCCATTTTTTCTGAAAGGAGTGATTCCTTGT